TTTTTTTTATATTTTTAAATTTTTTTAAACATTTTGTTAATTACCAAACGTGTTTATAGTTTATGTTTTTCTAAAAATAAACAAAAAATAAACAAAAATCAGTTTATAAAATTTTTGTAAATATAAACTGAAAACGTAAACGTTACCAAACACACATAACTAAAGATATTTTTTTTATCATAATCAAAATAATAATTTCAATAGGTCACAACTAATATCACAATAAATTACAACTAATACCATAAAATACCAAAATAAGTCATAACTAAATTATAATTATCACGACGATGAATTATTATAAATACCTAATTTGGGATGTTTATTATAAAATTTAATTACATAAACAACATATTCGTCTTTTTTGTACATGACTTAAAAGTCACAATAATGAAGTGATCAAATATAAAAAATTAATATTCAAACTCCATTTTAAACTGAGAAAATTTTAATTCAGTGTATATTTATAAAAATAATTATAAATTAATGAATTTTATAAATATTAATAATTAAATTTATTAAAAATTTCAACAATTTGTAATAGTTTTGTAGAAAGACCACTGTGTGGTAATTTCCCCTTTCAAATTTTACATATTAGCTTTATTTGGGATGTGAGTTGGCTTCTTGTCGGGGCTAAAAAGTTCGTTTGCATTAGATTTTTTAGTTTTTTTTTTTTACTTTTGTGAGAAAAAGGTAAAATTATTATGGCTTAGATGTAACATTTTATTTTATTTACTTTTTAGTCTATTTTGTAACTAAATTAGCCCCCAACCTCATTTTGGGTTGGTTTGGGAAGTGGGTTGACTTTTGATTTTTTGATTTTTTTGGCTATTTTAACCTGGGCTAAAAAGCTTGGTTTGGGAAGAGCTTTTTGGCTTTCTTGACTTTTTTTTGTAAAAGAAGAGTGTAATGATTATGGGTTGAATGTGATGTTTTATTTGTTGTGGCCAAAATAGCCTATTTTGTCTTTTGTGGCTATTTTAGCCACAAATCATCTTCCCAAACGGATGCCAAACGAGAGCTTTGTGTTGTCTAAAATACAAAAACAATAAGCCTCGTTTGGGAATATGCTATTTTAGTAATTTTTAAATTTTTTGGCTAAAATATGAGGTAAAAAAATTAGTATATTTGGGATAATTTTTTGATTTTTTAGGAAAAAATGTGCAAAAAGTATAGAAAAAATGAAAATTTTGACTTTTATGTATAGTTTGTTGGCTTTTTGACTTTTTTAATAACTTTTTGACTTTCACACTAAAAAGTGATGTTCCTGAATATTATTTTTAGAAGAAATTTATTTGGGAAGTGGATTGACTTTTTTGTTATGTTAGTCTGGACTAAAAAGTCTCGTTTAAGTCGGGCTAAAAAGTTTTGTTTGGGTTGGATTTTTTTTGACTTTTGTAAGAGAAAAAAATGAGATAATTATGATTTGAATGTGACATTTTAAAAGTGTTTGGCCCAATTTTTTTTACCCAACTTATGGCTTTTAACTTAAAAAAAGCTAAAACTAACTATTTGTTCCAACTTAATCATACCAACTTAAATTTATAACAGCTTTTTTTGAAGGTAAATAATTTGATTTTGAGAATCTGCTCCAAGGGTGCTTCTAATTCTCAACTTAAGCGGAAGAGGGTCAAAATTACGTAAATGCCCTTCACCAATTTGAAGTATTACCAAATTGCCATTATATAAACCATAAAGATATTACTGTTTACTATGAGAGAGAGAGAGAGATAGGCGATTTCTGATGGTGAGAGGCGATTTCCGGTGAAGCTCTTTCTCTCTGTTCGTCGCTGTGCCTTTGTTGTCATCCTCCCATTGTGATCAATGCTGAAGTGTTCTCCAATTGTTATGATCTGAAATCAACGCGATCTGATATTGGAAATCGCCATCTCTAGCGTTATAAGAGGCGATTTTCGGTGTGAACCAAAGCTGTCTCTCTCTTTTCTCTCTTGCGATCTGAAACCATCGCGATTCCAACACAATCCGTCGGTTCCAGAAGAGAACAAATGACTTTTCTCTCTCTCTCTCTCTCTCGCGATGTGGAACCATCGCGATTCTAGCACGAACGACTTCTCTCTTTCTCACGAACTAGAGGTGGTGGCTAGGGCATCAACAACGAGGGCTTCGCAGACCACCAATGGCAACGAGGGCTTCTTGCAAACCACCTGTGGTGGCTAGGGTTTTGCAAAATTGTAATAAAAAAAAGAAGTTTTTTTTTTCAATTAACTTGCATTTAATTTAAAAAAATATTTCAATTAATATTGAAATAAATTGTGCAATTTATATCCATTAAATAAATTGAATTTATTTCGCAATTATTGATATAAATTGCCCAATTGCACAATTTAAATAAAGAAATAAATTGCACAATTTTATCAATTAATATTGATATAAATTTATTTCAATTAAATAACTTCTTGGTATTGTAATAATAATAATAAAATCGTTGCTAATTGATATTAATGAAAAAAAAAATAATAATAAAAAATTAAATAAATTCTATTAAATGAAATAACAATTGTTGTAATGAAATGTATCAATTTTTATATTAATTGATACTAATTATCTTAACTTCTATTAATGAAATATTTTTTTTTAAAAAAAATTAAAACTAAAGAAAATGAAAAAATAACAATTTTTATATCTTATAAGGGCAAAAAGGGCATTACACAATAAAAAGTTATTTTACAGTTTATTCAACCAAACATTACTCTGCTGATTAAATCTATAATCCAACAGGTACACCAAACAGATTAATAGTATTTGATTAAAGTCATAATCTATAATCTGTAATTTGTTTTAACAGGAACACCAAACAGAACCTTTGTTTTATTGACTTTTAGCTTATTTTGTCCTTTTTTTTTTTTTTGTGTGGCTATTTTAACTTTTTAGCCTCCGAACCCATCATGCCAAATGATGGCTAAAGATTCTATACTAGTGTGAAGAAGAAATTAAGAAAAAAAAAAAGATTCGAGATTTAAGTTTTGTAATATATTTTTTTTAAATTTTACTTTTATCAATTTAAATTATAGTGTAAATTAGAAATACATCTATGAGATTTGATTAAAATACGAATCATCCCATGTGGTTTTGAAAATTACATTCTACCCGCTAAGGTTTCTAATTTCATAACAAATCGTCTATTTTAATAATAAATCATGAAATCAATTAATAATGTTTAATGATGTTATAAATATGTTTCAATTAATAATTTAGGTATTTTTATTATTGAATGAGAGAACAATTATGAATTTCATTTTTTTAGTTAATTCTATTAAATAAATTTTTTTGACAAGGGAATATTTGTAATTTTTCAAATCACAGGGACAATCTGTACTTTAAGTAAACCTCAGAGATGTATTTGTAATTTATTCTAAATTCTAGTATTTTAATTTGTTTTCCATTTAAACATTTTTTCAACCTATTTTCATTAAGTAAAATTATCGAAAAAAAATTATTTTAGTTATTAAACGCAATATAGGTGTACGAAAAATATCTAAGAAATCTATTACAATTGAGGTTAATGATTAAAATATAATTTTTAAAAATAATTTTACTTAATAAAAATAGGCAAATACTTAGATTAAAATAAATTAATAAATTAAAAATTTAGAATTTTTTTTGTTACAAACTCAAACTTCACGTTTGGTAACGTTTACGTTTTTCGTTTATATTTATAAAAAATTTATAAATTAATTTTTGTTTATTTTTAGAAAAATAAAAATTGAAAATACATTTGATTTGAATAGAATATTTGAAAAATTTTAAAAAATAAAAAAACAAAAAATGCTGTTTTCGTGATTTGAATTGAACCACTGACATTGGTACTTCTGCATTGCATCCGTTACTTCCATATTTTTCTTCATTTTATAAACCTTTGTACGTTAAAAATGATAAAACAAAAAAATATTATGTGAGTGTTGTTCTCATGGTTCGAACAACTGACATTGTGCTTCCACATTGCTTTCATAGTTCTTCTATATATATATTTTTTCAATCTTAAAACTTTTATAAACATGTTTTTTCAATTTATGATTTTTAATTTAAGAGACTTATTTATAAATTTAAAAATTTACAAAAACAAGTTTATATGTCATTTTTTAAAATTTTTGTAAATGTAAATTAAAAACTGAAGGTAGAGTGGTTACTCTCTTTTTTTTTTTTTTTTTTATATTTTTTAAATTATAATTTTTCCTAAAATGTGAATTTTGAAATGGCAAGATTACCCTTGAGAGGAACCGGACGCACTGTAAAGCGACGAGAACGCAACACGAGAGAGAGGACAGAGGGACAACGACAATTGTCCCACGTTGCTACTTTGCAGCTCTCTCTCTCTCCCTCTCTCTAAACCCCCACACCATCTCCATAATTTCTACGAAACCTGTTTCACCAATCCCAGATCTCTCTCTCTCCTCAAATTCATTCACCGGAAAACCACACTTACACTGCTCACCGTTATCGGAAAACTGCTTTAATTCACCGCCAAAACCGCCCTTGTTTCCAGTCTCCGTTGACTCTCTAAGCGATCGGGTCGAAATGAGTACTGGAGACCTTATCAGCATCGAGCCACAGGAGCTTCAGTTCCCTTGTAACTTTCTCTGAATTGCCCTTCTTTGCGATTTTGCTTTCAGATCTGTGTTTTTACTGGTTTTTGAACTGGTTTGTGTTTTTTTTTTTAGTTGAATTGAGGAAGCAGATCTCGTGTTCTCTGCAATTAACGAACAAGACTGATAACTATGTTGCATTCAAGGTACCAATTTTGAATTTTTTGTATGTAATTTAGGCGTTTTTTGTGTTAAAGATTTCATGAATTTTGTTGGATTCATCAAACCCTAGGGGATTAAAAATGTCTGCTTTTTTGTTTTTGATTTTTTAATTTGCGAGTTTTAGGTCAAGACGACGAATCCTAAAAAGTATTGTGTTCGTCCTAACACTGGAATTGTGTTGCCACACTCTGCATGTGATGTTATAGGTAAAAAACCATATTTTCTTTCATTCATTTCATTTTCATTTTCGTTTTCGTTTTCGATCTTGATTTGGGTTTCCTATAATTATCATCTCCTTGTCATCCATTTTGTCAATTATTATATCAATTTGGTGATAAATTGTCAAATTTGTTTTGTTTAGTTACAATGCAAGCACAAAAGGAGGCTCCTCCTGACATGCAATGCAAGGACAAGTTCCTACTTCAAAGTGCGGTCGCTAGTCCTGGAGCTACCACAAAAGATATTACTGCAGAGATGGTAACTACTAATTGTTATGTGATTTTGCATGCAAGTTTCTAAAATCTGAAAGAAAATGTTCTGGCTCGTCGAATTCTTTTGTTTTGTTTATTTTATTTTATTTTATTTTGAAGTTCAACAAGGAGTCTGGAAATCATGTGGAGGAGTGCAAGTTGAGAGTTTCTTACGTCCCACCACCACAACCACCGTCACCAGTGCGAGAAGGATCAGAGGAAGGTTCTTCGCCAAGGGCTTCAGTGTCAGATAATGGGACCATAAATAGAGCTGAATATACTGCTGTGAGTATTTGAGATGTCATACTACGGTAATTTGAAAAGAAGTCTTTGCATCGTTAAAATTTCTTATCACCAGATTACATATTGACACACATGACTACCCATGTTTGTAGGCTTCAAGTGCATATGTTGAAAGGGCATACGTCGAGCCTCAAGACAACTCATCGGAGGTTAATTGTTTCTTACCTGTTCTAATTTTATCCTTTGGATTTGCCTGGATTATATATTAATGTTAGTTTATCATGGAAATTTGAAAAGATATTTGTAATTAATAATCATCACCAACCATTTGCATTCTGGTTATATATATATATATATATATATTTAGCTTGGTACAATTACTTAAAATGTTTGAAAGAATATCTCACAGAGATTTATTGTCCATTTATAGCTTTCATACATTTTTCCTCGAAATGCACTTGAAATGTTAAAGGGATTCAGCTATTAAGTTTTGTATGCGTGTCTTAGAATGGGCTTGATTTGAACTCCTCTTAAGCGTATTTTGAGTGATTGTATGGGGATGGTGCTACATGAATTCCAACTTGGAACTTGAAATTTGTATTTTGCTCGAGCAACTATGTACCCACTTGACTGGTTGTTTGTTTTTGTTATGCTTCACTTCTGAACTAGTTGTCAAGCTTACACTTCATGCATGTGATACAATTACAATTGAACACTGCAACATACATTACACAAGCATGATACAATGGGAATGACTTAACTAGCACAAGGGTTTTGCCCATAGAAATTAGCCAATACATCAAATATATTAACAGTCTCTTTCAAATTGTATCTTTGTTATATAACATAATGATATAATTCTGATTGTATTTAGAACTTGTCTCGAGTGACGCCCAAGTTTCAAAGGAAAGTAGTCATTTGAAGAAGGAAAACTTCCAATGAACATCCCACAGTTACCATATTTGTTTGCAGAGTTTGATTCCTCTTAGGGATTAGATCTCATTCGATTGCTTCCGTTTTCTTTTGTTTTGCTTCAATTTTTTGGTTTCTTGATCATTCCAGCCTTAGGGTTTCAATCTTGGTATTTGTTCACCTTCAATTTTGCTGAAACTTGTTTGATCTTCCTTTGAGTTTGTTTGGTGATCTAGTTTATTCTGGTCTGGGTCTTTTGAACGAAGGTTTTGATCTTGGGCTTCGATCTCCATTTTTCTTCGCTCTTGTAGTTTCTCTCTATCTAGGGCATTGACCAAGCTCGATCCATTCGCCATTAGGGTTTTAATCTTGGACCTTGTTGGCATTTGATTTCTATTGAACTCCTCCTCCAATCTTTGTGTTAGTTCAGTGATCTCGTTTTTTGTAGCTCTTCTGTCGAACTAGAGTTTCAGTCTTCCTCAATCTTGAGTTTCTATCTCCATTTTTCTTCGCTCTTATTGTTTCTCTCAGTTTTGGGCTTTGATTAAGTTCTTTGATCTCCTTAGATCCTTTGGTTACCTTTTTTTTTGAAATGTTGGAGTTAGTTGAAGTTGTGCCTAGCAGTGTTACATGGACTCTTACATATACTCTATAGTACTCATGTCCACTAGATGTGACAAGGTAAGAGTGTGACGTGTCCGACATCCATACCTAATTTAGACATTGAAATCCTCTAATTTTATATGATGTCTGAAGAAGAAAAAGCTCGCATTTGTTAGAAAGAAATATTTCATCTCTCACGTGGGTAGAATACAGAAATTTTGAAAAGCCTATTTAATTTCAAGCACATCTCTAAGTAATTCACATCATCCTATTTAAGAATATTATGTAATATGCAATATATATAAGTATTTAGGACATGTTCCCATACTTGTACCCAACTTTTGGATACATATCCCAATATTTTAATATATAAATTTAGGAAGATCTGATTCTTGGACAAGCACCCGCACCCAATACTTATACCTGAGTCCATGTAACATAGTTGGTTAGATAGGGGCTTCAATAGGCCAATCCAAGAACAACTTTATCCTTTTAAAATTACCTGCCCAAATTTAATCCAGTTCTCAGTTAGGGTTAGTCACCACACACAGTAATAAACAATGCTAAGATTAAACACATTGATTTAATACGGAAAATCTTGAGGAAAACTCTCATTGAGGGAAAAATCATGGTCCAAACACCCCAACAAAATTCCATTAAGCAAATCGATGTAGTATAAAAACATGCACATGTGGCTAAATATGCGCACTAGGGGCTCCAACACCTAAATCAGGTCAAATTGGGTAAAATAGTGCAATTGATTGGCCATTGCGCGCCATCAAGTGTTAAGTGAGTAGTACAATCTATAAAGAAAAATGTTGAAAGTTCACCCAATGCTCAATTGCCTTGGCACTTAAATCTGCTCGATTGCTCTTAAGAGCGATCTTCTCTGTTTTGACTAAAATTCATAGGTTCTAAAAAAATTTAGAAGTTGTTTGAGATGTTCTAAATAAGTGCATTTTTTGACTTTTTATGAAATATGGGGTCAAATTGGGTAAAATAGTGCAATTGATTGGCCATTGCGCGCTATCAAGTGTTAAGTGAGTAGTACAATCTATAAAGAAAAATGTTGAAAGTTCACCCAATGCTCAATTGCCTTGGCACTTAAATCTGCTCGATTGCTCTTAAGAGCGATCTTCTATGTTTTGACTAAAATTCATAGGTTCTAAAAAAATTTAGAGGTTGTTTGAGATGTTCTAAATAAGTGCACTTTTTGACTTTTTATGAAATATGGGTTGGGTTTGAAGTGATGTGATAGAGAGGTGATGTGACTTAAATAAAATGATGTGACTTAAATAGGATAGTGACTTTTTGATTTTTTGACTTTTTTAGTATATGCCAAACAAGGCCTTGACACCCAAGGTTGAAAATAAGTCATGAAATTAGAAAATATTTTCAAAGACAATACTTAATATAAATTATAGGATGCAATCTACATGAATGCACTGATACTTGTTAACAGAACAAGGATCTCTGATGTCTTCGACAACTAACTAGGCCTGCAACAAGAGAAGTTAATGTAATCTATCCTTAATTAATTAGGGCATTTGGTCTAGTGGTTATGTAACATCTTTTGTGGTGCGAGGTCTCGTCTTCAACTCCAATGAAGAGGATTTTGACACTTTTTGTGGTGGTTTATTTATTCTCCGTTATAGGGGGCTTATGTAATTAGTGGTAGTTGTATTTGTCTTGGGCTCGGGTTAGTTGGTTTATAGGTTATTAAGGGGTGATTCTATTTGCACCAAAAATATAAATCAATACGCTAAAATTTTAAAATTTTAATTCCTATTATACTTTAATGTAAATTTACTAATGAGGATAACATATATTAAATCCTAAGATAAAATGTTATTTTTTCGCATGGTATACTCTAATCACTTATACGTATTTTTCATATTCAAGTATCTTCATCTTCTTTATCAAGTTTCAATTATTTTCTCTCATTCTTCTTGTGCCTCACTCCAAAACTCCAATCCAACCCACCAAAACTCACCATTATCATCAACGTCATTGTTTTTTATTGTGTTGTTACTTGCAAATAGAAGAAAGTTTGAACAAAATCAAATAATAGATGAAAATAATAATTAAAATTATTTTTTTATACAACCTATCAAAGAGGAGATAAGTTTTCACATAAATATCAAAATTTTTGATTTTTGTGTTTTATCCCCCTTTTTTTAAGTAAATGAATACCTTTTTTCCAGTTTTAGATGTTCTTCATACAATTCTTCATACATTTGTTTAATAGAGTCCCCTTTCTTCTCACTAGACTCACTATTTTCTTTGCAAGTTTTACTAGACTCCATTACAATCACTTCACCATCACACACACCTCAAGATTGAGAGACATAAGAGCACATTTGGTATGATGGGAATGGGAATGGAAATTCCATTCCGTTCAACCTTGTATTCCATTCTTACTCTCATTCTATTTCCACTTCATTTCATTCCATCGTACCAAACATGCTCAAGAGACTTGATGGTGGCAATTAATTCTGTAGTTTACACTGCTCTCATTAGACCTAGAGTCATGAGACTGACTCCCCTCAGTATCACTCGCATCATCCTCAGTAGCTTTGAGACCTTTAATCTCACTTTTCCTATTACCTTATTCAGCCTGAACATGACTAAGACCATGACACTCATGAGTCATGACATTGAATTCCTTCATGCTTTTTAAGTTTTGATTGATGAGACTTTGATCCTTTTTTGAATGTCTAGAGTTTTTATAACCACTGAATTTCTGAGGTTGAGTTGAACCGGTGCCCTTTAAAATTTTAAACGTCTTTTAAACTTCTTTGCAAAGTTCTTCAATTGTCATGGTGTTAAGGTTCTTAGTCTCTTCAATGGCTGTGAACTTGGCTCTAAAATGCTCTGAGAGATCTAAGAACCTTTCTAACAATTTTCGCATCACTGATAGTTTCACCTAAGCTAAAAGTACCATTTTCTATGTTACTTAGCCTGGCATAAAATTGATCAACAGTTTCAGATTCTTTCATCTTACATTCTTTAAATTTTGAAGTTAGAGTTTGTAGTTTAGGGTCTTTTATTGTTTGAGTTCCTTTGTGAGTAATTTTCAATATTTCCCGAGTGTCTCTGGCACTCTTACAAATAGAGATTTGTTTGAACTCACTAGGAGTAACAACATTGAAAATAGCATACAGTGCTTTCACGATGTATTCCTTGTTATCAAGATCTATCTCTTCCCATTGAGTGTGTTTTCAACTTCTTTTCATTGGTGGTGGGATCAACCACAAAGGCTGGTTCAAATCCGTGTTCTACAAACACAATACACGTGGACCAAGGGACTTGAACTAATATTTCATTTTGGCTTTCCAATACGGGTAATTACTACCAGCAATATGTGGTGATCAGTGAACGGAGCCTCCCTCTCTAAGTGAATCTGACTGCATCTAAATGAATATGAAACCTTAGAATCAACTCTAGTGGTTAAGCTATAAGAAATGAGCACTTTTGCACTGATACCAACTGAAATATTAGAGTTACCTGAAATTGTGTTTAGAGAGGGGTGAATAGGCTAATTCAAGAACAATTTTACCCTTATAAAATTATTGGCTCAAATTAAATTTGCTTCTTTGTGCGGGTTACAATCACCAAACACAATAATATTGAACGCAGTGACTTAACATGGAAAACCCCGAGGAAAACCATCATTGAGGGAAAAACCATGGTCCTAACACCCCAACATAATTCCTGTTAAGCAATTCAAACTAGTAGACAGAGACAAAATGACTTACAACCTATCCTCAATTATCCTATCTCTGAGTTCCACCAATGAATGAGCATGGTCTAGCCTACTCAACCTTCTTCTATATGCTTGTCCATCATGAAGCTCCTTACGTCGATTTTTTTTACACAAATGATTCTGTTCACTCAAAAGGACGAGTGATGGGATGGTGAATGCATGTATGAATCCTAGGATGCAATCTACATGAGTGCACATATACCTAGGAGGGTAATGGAGTAAGGATCTTTGATGCCTTGGACAACTAACTAGGGTCTTCACAAGACAGTCTCTTAGCCCTCTATCTAAATTCCCAAGCCCCATTACAAATTACATGAGATCATTTTGTCGTGCATAAATTGCCCATGGGCTATGTTTCATGGACTTTTTTGAATGTATGAAGTACCTATGTCAAATGTGTATTTGAACATTTGCCTAGCAAGCATAGTTAATAATTTGAGTTTACAATTAAACTTTGCATAAACCCCTAGATTATGCATGAAATATTCTATGACACTTTTTGAACATTATTTTACCCCAAAAAATAAATTAAGTATATATTAAAAAATTATGAACATTTTGTCGTGTCTCCGTATCCTTGGCCATGGGAAGTAAATGAATACCCACACATGCACCTTAGTTTTAGGAAACTCTAATTTCAGGTGAGCAATTTGCTCTGGAATCTCGATTCTTCAATTCAGAGTATGAATCTAATTAGAACTACGTTCTTAATTAGGATGGAACCTCTCAAACTAAGTAGCATAGACGCAGACAAGACACGACACGACATGACGTGAACATGTTGACACGGTAATTTTTAAAAAATGCAAGACACTATATGCGTGGGACACATTAAAATTTTTATATTTTATAAATTTGTTAAATGTCAGATAGATGAATATTTTATTGGAAGGTAATAAATAAAAAACATAACACTAATTAAAATTAAAGTTATACAATTCATAACTTATACATTAACAATTGTATTCTAAAGAATGGAAAATGATTATAGAACATTGAAGTACGCATGATATATTCGTCTTATAAATGTTTCATAACATATTTACAGTACACAAGTTGCATTATGAAGAATGCAGAACATTGTTACTACGAAGACTTTCATCAGATAAGTAGTGTTTGTAGGATTCAAGAAGGGTTGTTGAAGTGTTCGAGTAGTCTAAAATTTTAATTAAGACACGTTAAGGAAATGTTAGAATCGATTTAAGGAATGTTTGCTGAGTGTCATGTCAGACATGGGTGTCCAATGCCTCCTCTATAGACTTGTTTGCGCTTCTTGAACATATGAATCCCTGTTATTATAAATTTAAAATTTTAATTAAGATGTTGAGGAAATGTCGGAATCACTTTTAGGAGTGTTTACTGAGTGTCGTGTGGACATGGGTGTCCATTGTCTCCTCTGTAGAAAAAAAAAAAAAAAAAAAACCCATCAAATTATAAAAAAAGATTAACTCAAATTTATACTAATAGTTCATATTCCCTGTCTCAAATTGTTTGTTCATTTTTGACATTCTTTCCTTTTAATTGGGTCAATAAATAATAGGGGTGAGCATGGTTTAGTTTGGTTTGGTTTTGAAGTAAACCAAGACCAAACTACTACTTATGGTTCTAAATTATGGAACCAAACCGAACAATGGAAATCTCAGAACCAAACTAAACCAACTCGGTTCAATTCCGTTTGGAACTATGATTTTTATGAACTTTGTCATCCTTCACAACATGATTACAACTTGCTCAAAGATAGCGCAATATATCATCATTTTACAAATTTTTTTTTGTTTACATGCTTGTTTAAAACTAGTTCTACTATTATGCAAGAACACACTTGCCAGAGCAAAGACTTGACAACTTATGAATATATATGAGATACTAATAACGTACTAGAGTGTCTACCATAAATAACAAATTATATATGTATATATCTAAACGGTCTTGGTTCAGTTCAATAAAATCACGGACTGAATTGTGAAGGACAGTGCACCTATTTTTAGAATTGGGACTGGACCACACATTGAGAAAACCAAATCAAACTGTTCAGTTTGGTCTGAATCAGACCGATTTGCTGTTTTTTTTGCTCAGTCCTTAAATTTATCCACAAATTAAAAGATTTTAATTAGTCCTTGTACATAAAGCATTCAAAATCATTGAAAAAGGGAAAATGATGAAATATATAGACAATTTGCTTGGATGGCTAGAATAGTGAAAATGGACAAATAATTTAGGATACAGGGAGTATTTACATAATATTTATTATATTCACAAAAAAATAATTTGTAGTTGACACCAATATTTATTCATATTTTAACAATATATCGTAACTAAAAAAAAAAGAAAAGGTTTTACAATATATAAAATATATAAATGCTATCATAGGTGCTCAACCTACTCTTCTATGTGTTTCGCTTATCGCGCTGATTCCATTTCGTGCAATAAGATCCGCACCCATTCCTAAGTCCATGTAATATAGGAAATGGGTCTCAATTTGAGTTTCTGAAGTGAAGAGGTGAGATGGAAGTATGACAAGAGTGGTGGTGCAACTAAGGCTAGTCGTGGTTTCTATTGTCGATTGTGTAGCCAAAGTTTTAAAAGGCTTTACTAAGGCTCACCTCGCCTCGAGGCTAAGGTGAAATGCATCAACGCTTTGATTTTTGGGCTATACTTTCCCAAGACTTGCGCATCGTAGTTTGAGATATACGCCTTAGATGCGCCTTGTACGCTTTTTGCGCATAAGCATATAAAGAGTACACACGTGAAGAGGTTGCCTTAGGCTCTTGTTAAACATAGTGAAATGTTCAATGCCTTGAGAAGAAAAATATTTACACCTTTATATTTATTTTTTATTTAATAGTTTACTATTTAAAACTATTCAACTTATTTACTAAATATTAAAATTTGAAATTTGAAATGCTTGTGTCTCGATGCTTTAAGGCTTATGCCTTGCCTCATGAGGGGTAAAATGCCTTGAGTTATGCATTCACCTTTAAAAACTGTGTGTAGCCAATTGAGGTTGGAGGTTGAAGCCTCTGAAATTAGGGGTCTGTTTTCATGTGCGAATGTAGTAGTTGCCGGTAGGTGTTAGTACGTTAATACACTTGAGATGGAAGGGGTGGGGGTTGGATGGAGGCGCTGCAATGGTTTTCTCCGTTTGGTGGCTGGAAGTGTCTGGAGGGGTGAGCTTATTTGTGAAGAGGGTGTAGTAGAAGATTCCATTGGTGGTCAAGGTTCCCACCTCGGGTTCAGGGAGCTTCGAGACACTCATGTAGCTAGAATTAGGGCAGTTTGGTGACAGTGTTGGTGTTAAAAGGTCCGTCAGCATTGAGGAAGAAGATGAAAGGAAGGAGATGACTGAGGTTTACACGTGGAAAGCTCATGGATCAGGTTGAAGTTCTCAGGAATGGGAAGGTGACAGAGAGGACTTGAAAGAAGATGAAGTCTGCTGCATGAATTTGGGAGGGTTTGCAGAAGTAGAAATGGCCAGGTGGAGGGCTAAGATGGATTGGAAATGGTGTTGTGGGTTAGGCAAGGAATTGTGTGTGTTTTTTGTTGGGAGAGAAATAGATCAATTTACCAGGAGAGGCCTGGTGATTAGAAAAGGCTCGACAAAAGTTGGGCTCAAAGTTTGATGGGCCATTACAGGGTGAGAAATTTAAGGTCATAATGTAGTTTTGTGTGCCACGAAAAGAGATTGGAAGGCTGCTGCTGGGGGATTTGTTGGTCTTGCACCCCAATAATCCAATAAAGTATTGGCCAGTTTTGCTAAGGTTGTGAAGAGTACAAGGCCAAAGGCAGCAGAGGCAAGAATCAGTAAAGTTGATGAGCTGGGTTGGGGTTCAGTGAGGAGGGTGGCCAGTTTTCCTCTTTGGTTATTTATTTACTAGTAAATGGTCAGTGAGGGTATGGGGTGAAAAAAGTCGTCATCTGCATAGAAGTTTGTCTTTTCTCTTTATTTTGTGCTATACCACACAGGAATTTCAGGACATTGAATGGTTATTTTTCACGAGAGTTGGTTTTTGAAGAAATTTCTTCTACAGTCTATTATTGGAAATCTGGGATCTCTTGAAATATGTTGTCAGGTTTCTGTGAAGAATGTGACACTGTAAACTTTCTGGCCTTGTGTGTTGGTCTTTTTTAGGTGTACCTTGTTCCTTCTGATGCTTCTCATACTAGTGGTTATTGGAATTATAAGAAACTGTCCAGATAACCCAACTCTCTAAAACCTGCATTTATAGTTTTAATTTTTCCATGTTGTATTAGGTGACTGCAAATCCCTGTTTTTAAAATTTTTTTATTTTTTGTTTTGCTTCTCACATGCGTGGTCATTCTTTTGATATTGTTATTGTTACTAAGTTTTGAAAACAATTTGCCTGGTAGAGCTCAATGGATTAGAAGTTTCTTTTAATCATGGCAACTACTCGGTTTTTACACAGGCTATGGTTATAGAATTCAGTACTGTATAAATTAAGCAGTACTTTGATCCAATTTCAGGTAAAGGCTCTTGTTTCTAAGCTGACTGAGGAGAAGAATTCTGCAATTCAGCAAAATAACAAGCTTCAGCAAGAATTGGTAAGGGATTCAGTATGTGAATGCTTCTTTCGACTAAACTGTCCTACTTAACTTATGGAATAGAATTAGCACCATCTTGTTATTTCTCTTTGCTGGAGGGCTCCTTTCAGTCATGCTTACAAGTAAAGTTGTTTCATTATTCCCTTGGATGCTATAAAAAAATCACTTAAGAAATATAGTAATGCATTCATCGTTACATCTATGTGATCTTGTAGATGTTTGGATCTTGGATTTGTGGAGGGAAAATTGAATGAAATATAAGCTTTCCCGTTCTTAATTCTTTTCCTTCCACAAACGCACAGAGACTTTTACCCCCTCTTATTTCTTTTCTCTCGACAAATCCAAAATCCAAAATCCATATCACAATGGTAGACAGCAGGGATTTACATGATTTGCGACATTCTGAGAATAGAAATTTTACATTTAGGTTGCACTGTATTTCACAAGTATTGGATTACAACCTTATGTGTAATTTATTTTAACATCATTTATGATCATCTATTGGATTACAACCCTATGTGTTAGATGTATCATGGACCAAATTTTTAAGAATTGGTTTCCTTAAAACTTCCTTACAGTTGTTACGTAGACCATAACAAATGAAAATCAGTTTTTCAAATTTCAATTATAATTCCTATACAAAAAAAAAAAAAAAAAAAAATGACAAAAAAGGGTTATTTTGTATATATTTTTAAATCTAGTATGAAAGCATCTAAAATAAAAAATAAAAAATTTTAGTATGTGAAATAAAATGGTGTTATATGTAATGTACAATGTAAAAAAGGCATTTTACTCATTTTATAGCAATCATACAACAATATATACATATAGTGATGATAGTGTTAAATACAAATATATAAGAAGTGTATGATATAAAATATTAGATACATATCTCATACCCTTATCCAAGTGTTGAGTGTTTGACATCGGCATTTGATTTATTTTGAAGAGTTCATGTAGCATAGGGTATAGATGTTGGGTGCGGTGCATATCTAGAAGTCAAACCATCAAATCTCAAATTTAAGAATACACGGATTTGGCAAAAAAAGCTCATATTATATATTTTTAATTTATTATGTGAGAGAAAATGGGGTTATATATAACATAAAATGTTAAAAAGGTTTATTTATTTATGTGTAGCAATTATATAAAAAGATATACATGTAAGATAGTGTTAGATACAAAAGAAGTGTTTGATTGGAAGTATCGGACACATATACTGCACCTTGTCCAAGTGACGGTGTCCAACACGTGTATTTGATTATTTTTAGGGGTCCATGTAACATAGCATGTTACTTAGATGAAGCAAAATGTGCATTTGCTTGTTGCAAAAAGCGTCAGCGACTGTTCTTTATCACATTTTACTGTAATATTTTTGTTTCCGTATATATGATTGGCCTATTAAACAGTAAGTTGCACTAATGTTGCAACAATTGCTCCATTTGATAGAAATAATATTGCCAAAATAACGGGTTATTAGATGTTATAATTGTGAGTAATGATTTACATCAGAAGTATAATTCATCGGGCACAAGGTGTTTACTTTTACAGCATTACAGAACCTCTCTTAAACCATAGACTTACTTTCTATGGGGCTTACAATGTGCAGGAGTTCTTGAGACGTCAAAGCAACAAAAGCCATGGCGGTCTTCCATTCATGTATGTTGTTATTGTCGGTGTAATTGGCATCCTTTTGGGGTATATTCTTAAGAGAACATGACCCCAGAGTTTGCCTTATGTTGTTCATCTGTTGTTGTCCCAGAGTTTAAAATGATTCAGAACTTTGAAAAAAGACAAATGTGTGATGATCAATAGGAGGCGGCTTTGTATTGCATTAGCCGCCATGTAATTGACTTTAGAAAACATGATCAAACCGGTTTGATGGGTTTTGTAACTGCAGGAGCATTACTTCCTTGTTTGACTAGCTGCTTCTTTGTTGTTAACATACTTATTTTAGTAACTTTGAGGTTTTTCTTCATCATGTACCCTTTGTTTCTTGTAGATTTGTTATTTTGTTTTTTCAGATTTTCTTTGGCATAGAAATACAATGCGAGGCCAAATGCCATGGATTAGTTTATTCTATTGATCTGTGCTGCGATTTGTTTGGTGTTTTTTTTGGAGCTCATTTCTTTATGCTATGTTCAGTGCATGGATTTGGAAACAGAAAGGGAAAATGTAGGTGAAATGTGAGTGAAATATAATTACGTTTCACCAATATTTCATATACCTTTTTTTTTTTTTTCCTTTTCAAATTCTTACCCAAATCCATGAAGCAAACACGACCTTAGTGTTTTTAATTGCAAATCTGAACTCTCTCATCTTTCTTGTTTTCGACTTCTCTCTAGTGTAGTGGGAATAATAAATAGCTGCTTCTCTGTATTGGTGTATTTTTTTTATTATTATTATTATTATTATTTTTTTTTGGAGGAAACTCTATATTGGTTTTGATCAGACATGAAATTCAGTACACTGTTGTAACCCGGATGAGATTACATTTGGAGAAGCTAAGCACAAATTTCATTGTATATATATTGATGAATTTCATAGTATAATCTTTTCTAGGCTTTTTAATTGTAAATTGGGAAAGTAAACTCCTTTTAGTTGCTTTTGATCTATCCTCGTAGTTTTTGAAGCTTTCATATCTGCTTTTACATGTCACAGCCAGGTTGGATAGAGTCCTGGCTTTTGCTTTGTGATTTAAGATCTTTTGCTTATCTTGAACTTGGGAAGTCCTTTACCCCTTATTTTTTTATTTTTTTGCCTTACTTCACTTTGAACTTTTGAATTACATTTGTTTTACATAGCACTTCCAGTATGATTCTATTTTCTTATCATGATGAAATTTTTGCCTTATTTCACTTCGAACTTTTGAATTACATTTGTTTTACATATCACTTCAAGTATGATTCTACTTTCTTATTATGATGTGTCTATATAACATCCTTTTTATGTTTAACATCCAAATGTAGCTGTAACATGCAAATCCAATCAGTCCCATTACATGGATTAAAGATTAAGCACTAATCCAAGCTGTCCATAATTAGATTGTTCTTTTTGTTTTGTAAGGGGGGAAATCGATCGAGGGGTCTGCAGTTCTAGGTTGGTGTGGAATTAGCAATTCCGTATAGTAATTTCGTGTAGATCAACCCCTGAATTGATTTTATTTCTGTTTCTAATTTGTTTTTGGGAAAAGACTATAGTGTACATATGTATTTTATAACTATAGAAGAAATGATATAATTTTATACTTTTTGAGTTATAACAAAATAAAAAAAAAAAGAAAATCATAATTCAATACAAGTCATAATTAAAATTTTAAATAATATCATAATTAAAAAAAAATTAATCATAATTAAATTAGAAAATAATAGAATTAAAAGTATATATGATATAAATTATGTTTAATAAAATTTTTCTTGTTTTTATATGATTTGGCAAGAGTTGAAATTGATTCAGGCCCATGACCTGTAGATTGACTTACCTTGTCTTGTCTTCATTTTTGGGCCACAGAACTCAGTCCCAGATGGACTTACCTTGTCTTCATTTTTCTCCTTTCGTTATGAAAATATAATTTTCAAGTTACTAATTGATGTGGTGGGCTGCTGGAGTGTGTGTGCAGATGTTATTAGTACCTCTGGGTATGGTCACGTGGTCTTTGAGGCTATGTTTGGTATTCATTATTCAATTGAATTAGTAGGACAATTATCCCCTTGTTCATTGTTTGATTTGTATTGGATTAGTAGGTAAAAGAATCCTTTTATTTTATTTCCCAACTTAGGATATATAGTTTTACCTCTACTCCATTACTAATAATCTTACAAATTTGTTAGATTAATAATCTTGAAACAAAATTTCAAAACAAATACAGGATTATTGGGTCTATGGATTAATAATCCCAATCCCATGGTCTAATTCTGTCAATCAAACATGCTGAGTATTATAATTGGTGGAGAAGATAAAATTTATAATTTAACACTGAATAATTTAAAAATATAAAAAGATATGCTAAATAATAATTAATAAAACAATATGAATATGTAATATTTCAAAAATATATAATAATTTTTTGGGTGGGAGAGACTGAATGAGAGCTAACCACACTACCATCTTATTCAAATTGAAATCATTAGTGGGTTTGACTTGGAAGTCTGGCCTTGAAAATTACTATTATTCTTTAATTATGAATGAAACATACTAATTGAGATTGGAGAATAGTGTTAAATAGACATGACACATGATGAGACTCTGCATGATGAAAAACGTTGGCGTTTAATTACATAATATCAAAGTCACATCCAAATTACAGAATTCTTACATTATTGTTACATATATACATACATGCACACAAGGAACCACAATCAAAACTCCATGTTGGATAAGATGAAATTTAAGACAAGTAGAATTTAAATTTTTATTTGAAAATATTTAAAAAAAATAAAATAAAAATAACAAAAAAAATATTAGAAAAGTCGATCCCAAATAACCCTGAATGATATCCAACTCTTGATTGGCTATCAATTCTGATTAGTCAACTTGGTTTGTTTTTTTTTCTTTGGGCTCAATGTTTGGGGTAAAAAAGCCATTATGATCAGTTGAGTGGGTATTTAGTAAAAAATAATTAGTTACACTAAGATCATTCAATTATTAGTGAAGATAAATGATAATTGTAAATAATTAAAGCACATAAAGTACATATCTTGAATGTTTTGTAGGTCACATGCTTAAAATAAATTTAAACCATAATACACTTTTTATGTTTTGTTAATGTATTTTAATTCTATACATGTAAAATTATTGATTAACACATATCATATTAGTCTTTCATTTATAAATTCGTATATTTTGACAAAGTATAAAACACAAAACTTCTCTACAAATTTAATGATGAAACTACATAGCATTTGGCGATATTAAGTCGAACTAAATGTAGAAGAAAACAAAATTTCGCTACATCCAATTACACCACTTTAAAGAAAACAACAAAAACAAGCAAAATTGGAGTATACCATCTATTGGGGTTCCCCATCTCCAAATTGAAAAATACTAAGGATATGTCTAGTTGTTCTGATCAATAGGATTTTTTGTATGAATCAGTTTAGAAGACCTTATAAGATGAATTGTGGGTTCATGGTGGGCCAACAATGCCTTACAACACAATCTAGTCAGCAAAATAAACTGGAGATAATTGAATCCCCCAAAATTAAATCATAGAACTAATAGAAAATACTTGAATCCTTGTAAACACGACCCACATACAAAAATATGAGTATCTATGATTAGTTGTGTTTTTACTCGTTGACTATGTTTTCATTTTCAAAAATTTTGAAAATTTAAGACAAAAGCAAGTTTGGTTATTTAAGTTTGGTCACCAACAACAATTTTCAAAACTTTTAGAAACAAAAAAGGTGTTTTATTTGTTTTCAAAACAAATTTGCACTTCCTCCTCCCTCCGCCACCACCATCGACCATCGTAGTTGGTGACCTTCAGTCTCCGGATGCTTGATCTCCAACTATCCTCTAGTGAGCTCCAACGATCATTTGGCCAACCTCTTGTGACCTCTAACAATCTACGGCCACCCTCTAGACGCTTCAACATCCACCTTTGGCTGCCCATACCATAGGCTCACTTTGACAACTTATCAAGCATATTTGGTTCTCAAAATATGAAATATGTTACACTTAGTCCTTAGCGTTAACGCCATTCAAAATCAATAATGGTAGAAGGTGTATGTTGGTCCCTAATCTTCATTTCATTGTATGTTATTATAATATTCTAAAGATGTTCATACTTCTATTATTAATTTTGAACAGTACTGATTAAATGATTGGGGATTAAAATATGACAAAACACATACCTTGTAAGTCAAAACAAAAACCTCAAATTCTGTAATTTGGAGTTTCAACAAATTGGATTTGAATAAAACATTTTCTCAAAATTTAGAATCAAAATTATTCCATAAACAATGCATGAAAAGTCCATACCACCTTTGGTTAAAGTAGCGAATGATGTGCTAATTATTTTAGTGACCATTGACTAAGGAAGGAAACAATGAGAAGAAACTATCCTAACCCAAGTTGATATTAATGATGAAAGAAAAGATTTTATTTTTTTTTTATTTTTTTTTGAAGTAACCAATAACAAGCATGAAAGAGACATGAGAAGTGAATGTTGGTTTGACCTTGAATTCATGAAATCTCAATATAACAAAAAAGATGGAGATAATATCAATAATAGAAGAGAAGTCAGGGATATATAGATAGAGAAAGGAATAGAAAGAAAGAAAGAAAGAAAACCATGCAAATGGAGGCTAACCAACTCATCCATGCAACACCTTAGTGGAGCCAAACCTCCACCAAATGGTGGAGAGAGAGAGAGTCTTGAGATTGAAGAGAGAGAGAGAGAGAGACCAATGAGGGGGTGTTGTGTTGCTATTGTGGGGCCTACAAGAGGTGGCTTTTGACAAGAATGAGTGCTTGCTTTTGGGTTTTGGTACAATAGAAATCTGTGGAAAGGAAGCAACGCGTTGTTTTTAAGCTGACTAAGAAATGAAAGCCCAAAAAGAGAATAAAAGAAAAGAAATTAAGTGTAAATTACATGTATTTTATTTCTTGTGCTATTTTAATCTATGTAATTTTAATTAGTTTAATTTTGATTAAAAACTTTAAATTTTGTATTAATTTAATCTAATTGAAAATGTCTATTAGAGTTTTTGAAGGATAATGATCACTGATTTAGTTGAACTTAACTCACTGAGTTAAACAAGTTTATAATTTTATTTACAAAAATATAATGTACTGTTTATCAAAAAAATAAAATAAAAGTATAACGCATGTCATTTATGTGTAAATTTTTCATTAAAAATATTAAAAATTATAATTAATTAGATTAAATTGAGACAAAATCATAAATTCAAAATTAAAATTAAACTAATCAAAATTACATAAAGCAAAATGATACAAAAGTAAAAATATAGAGATTATTAGTATAATTTATAAAAAAAAACAATGAAAGAAACTTAAAAGAAAGAGTTGGAGAAGATATGGTGGCCAAGCATCTCCATGAAAGTTGATATGGTGATGAC